GAAAAAGTGAGGCAAAGGATCACTTGAGCCCAAGAGTTTGAGGTTGCTGTGATCTGAGACGCCAGGGCATTCTACCCAAGGGCAACAAAGTACAACTCTGTGTCAAAAAAAAGAAAGAAAGAAAGTGGAACTAGGGTTGGTAGGAGGGGGAGATCCTGATGTCTGAGCACATTTTGCCTTTTTTTTTTTTTTTGAGACAGAATCTCACTTTGTTGCCCTCAGTAGAGTACTGTAGTGTCATAGCTCACAGCAACCTCAAACTCTTGAGTGATTCCCTTCCCTTAGCCTCCTGAGTGGCTGGGGCTACAGGCGCCCTCCATAATGCCTGGCTATTTTTAGAGATGGGGTCTTGCTCTTGCTTAGGCTAGTCTCGAACTCCTGAGCTCAGGCAATCCACCTGCCTCAGCCTCCCAAAGGGCTAGGATTATAGGTATGAACCACAGTGCCTGGCCACGGTTTGCATTTGGGGGGGCATGACACATTGCCAGAATACCCTCCTAAAAAGTGGTATGAATTTTCACTCCCACCAATAATCTACAAGGGGAGAGAACCCATTTTCCCACAGCCTCAATAGCAGTAGACATTATGAAATTTGTTTCTTTCTTTGTGGCTTCCCTTTCCTTCCCTGAGATGGGAGCTCCCTATGTTGCCAGGCTGGTCTCAAACTCCTGGCCTCAAGTGACCATCTTACCCTGGCCTCCCAAGTAGCTGGGACTACAGGCCTGAACCATTGTGCCCATCTTGATAGATATTATCAATTTTTTAACATTTTGCTAACATGATTAACAAAAACTGTCTCTTTTTCTTTTCTTTTCTGTTTTTATTTTTATTTTTTTGTTGTTGGGGATTCATTGAGGGTACAAGAAACCAGTTTCTTTCTTTCTTTTTTTTTTTTTTTTTGCAGTTTTTGCTGGGGCCAGGCTTGAACTGGCCACCCTCGGTATATGGGGCTGGCATCCTACTCCTTGAGCCACAGGTGCCGCTCTTTTTTTTTTTTTTTCTTAAGACAGAGTCTAATTCTTTTACTCTGGGGTAGAGTGCCACGGTCTTATCATAGCTCACAGCAGCCTCACACTCTTGGGTTCAAGCAATCCTCCTGCCTCAGCTAAAACTGAGGTACCACTACAACACCTGACTAGTTTTTCTATTTTTAGCAGAGATGGGGTCTTGCTGCTGCCCAGGCTGGTTTTGAATTCCTGAGCTAAGGAATTCTGCCTCAGCCTCCCAGGGTGTTAGGCTTAGAGGCATGAGCCATGGCACCGGGCTCTATCCCCTAGCTATTTTGCTCTGTACTTCATTATCACGCAGTGCGACATGTGGCAGGTGCTCAGGATTGGGGAGGGGCACAGTGACCCTGCAGATCATCTCAACACTGGTTGGTCCTTAGGGGTAACAAAAGAATTTTGGGGTCTTGGACTCTTTCCTCTGAGGGTAGGAAGGTAAGTGATTTGGGGGGAGCCTCAGTTTGGCACAGGACTGATCTGTACTCCCAGTTCCTTCCCAGAAAATTGTCATGTAGGGCAGCCCCTGTGGCTCAAAGGAATAGGGCGCTGGCCCCATATGCCAGAGGTGGCAGGTTCAAACCCAGCCCTAGCCAAAAGCTGCAACCCCCCCCCAAAAAAAAACCAACTGTCTTGTAAATCAGGGGCTATGTGGCTGGCGCCTTAGCCATTTGAGCCACAGGCACCGAGCCACTGGTGCTATTTCTTATTTCTGATTTTTATCTTTGTGAGACAGAGTCTCACTTTGTCGCCCTGGGTAGATTCAAGTGATCCTTTTGCCTCAGTTTTTCATTTTTAGTAGAGAGAGGGTCTCACTCTTACTCAGACTGGTCTTGAACTTGTGAACTCAAGCAATTCACCTGCCTTGATCTCCCGGAGTGCTAGCATTATAGCCACTGCGCCTGGCCCCTCTATTAGTAATAGAAGCAGGATAGAGGGGTGGAAAGCACACCATGAGCTCTGCTGTAAGACCCTGCCTCTACCTTCCCGCCAAGGGGCAGTCACTGAGCCTCCTTTCCTCCTTCTCCTTCCTTCCTTTTTTTTTGGGGGGGGGCAGGGTCTCACTCTATCACCCAGCCTGGAGTGCAGTGGCACGATCATCGTTCACTATAATCTCAAACTCCTGGGCTCGATCACTCCTGGCTCAGCCTCTGAGTAGCTAGGACTACAGGTGCATGTCATCACACCTGGCTAAGTTTTAAAAAACAAATTGTAGAGATGGGATCTATGTTGCCCAGGCTGACCCAAAACTCCTGACCTCAAATGATTCTCCCATCTTGGCCTCCCAGAGTACTGGGATTATAGGTGTGAGCCCTTGTATCCAGCTCAGCCTCTTCTGGTATAAAATTGGAACCAATATTTTATGTCTCACAGGACTGGTTTGATGAACTGGGTGGTTTTTTAAGTAGAGGCTTAATATGTTCCCTTCCATTCCTTTATTCCTACAGGTTTGTGTAGGAACTAGTTACAATATAAGAAATAATTGAGTGACCAGACCACCCTCATAGATTGAACAGACTACAGAAATGAGTTGAAAATTGCCTGGGTACTATGACTCATGCCTGTGGTGCTCGTACTCTGGGAGGCTGAGGTGGAAGGACTGCTTGAGACCAAGAGTTTAAGATTAGCCTGAGCAAGAGCAAGACCCTGTCTCTACCAAAAATGGAAAAACTTAGCCAGGTATGGTCCTCTGTGTCTGTAGTTCCAACTACTTGGGAGGCTGAGGCAGGAGGATCGCTTGAGTCCAGGAGTTTGAGGTTGCTGCAAACTATGATGATGCCATGACACTCTATGATAGTGCAGGCATATGTCTAGGCAACCGACCAAGACTCTGTCTCAAAAAGAAAAAAAAAATGGGTTGAAAATTTTCTCCCACCTGCAGTTTTTCTAGGCTTAATCCCTAAACTTTGATTTCTCAAGTCCATTAGTGTGCCAAGAACCAGGAACAAGGGCCTGGAACTAAAGCTCTGACTCCTGTTCAGGGTCCTCCAGCCAGGCCAGGGGGCTGGACAGCTCTGGGCCTGGGAGAAGGTGGCTTGGAGGTGGGGAAGGTGGAGAGGGGCAATGAGCTGAGTTTCACATCTTTTGAACTTTCATAGGAAAGATGGCTGAGAATTATATGCTCCATTTAGAGGTGAAGAATCCAAAATTTGGTTTGAAAATTAACTTCTCCAAGATCATAGGATACTAAGTCTTTTTTTCAGCCCAGGATAGTCTGGGGAAGACAGGAATATGATAGATCCTTCTACGAAGTCTTCCCAAGGTTGCTAGGAATATCGTTCTGGAAATCTCTGGAGACTAGAATGTTCCTGGGCCCCTAGGACTCCTCCTCCTCCTGACTCGTGGATCATAGCCTTTCCATTGGCTCATAATGGGAGGAGGGGGGAATGCATGGGAATGAAAAGTTAGTTCTGATGTGCGTTTGATCTTGTCATTCTGAAAACTCTGCTCTCCCGCTTGAGTTAGAAGAGGAAGGCTAGGGCGGCATCTGTGGCTCAGTGGATAGGATGCTGGCCGTATATACCGAAGGTGGCAGGTTCAAACTCAGTCCCAGCCAAACTGCAACAAAAAATAGCTGGGTGTTGTGGCAGATGCCTGTAGTCCTACTGGGGAGGCTGAGGCAAGTGAAATGCCTAAGCCCAGGAGTTGGAGGTTGCTGTGAGCTGTGACACCATGGTATTCTACCAAGGGTGATAAAG